GCCAGACACTCCCAAGTCCACGTGCTGGGTGGGCATTGAGAGTCGGATTGGGCCAGGAGGCTAGGATTGGCCCCTGGCCCCGTCAACTGTGGTCAGGGTGGTTGGCTGCCGGGAAGGGGTGGCGATGGTGGGTCTCAGACTGAGAGCAATGCAGGCCCCACACACATCTCAGTGGGGAAGCGAAGCACCAGCCTCCTGTGTGCTGTCGTCACCTGTGTGTGGACCTGTCCCTCTGCCATTCTCTCCGCAGGCCCTCAGCATCCTCATGCTCCCGCACAACATCCCGTCCAACCTGAACTTGCTCACCACCATGGTGGATGACATGTGGCACTACGCTGGGGACCAGTCCACCGACGTGAGTGCTTTCTGCGGGCCCACAGGATGCTGCGGAAGCTTGGGTTAAGCATTTCTTCCAGAAGTTGGTGGAATTCCTTTGGTCACACACCCCTTCGGGGGGTCTGTGGGCCATTCCCACCTTGGTGAGGAGAGGCCAAGATGTGAGGAAGGGCTTTCAGCAAGCCACAGGGGTCTCGGCTGTCTTCGTTCAGGGACCAGCGCTCTGGCCACAACCCAGTGGTCCTTCCCTCTGACCTGCAGTGGCAATGCCAGACGTTAGCCTGTGACTGGGCTGCCATTTTACAATCCTTTCTGCCTGCAGTCTCCTGAAGTTCAGATTCCACAGCAGCATTTCTCAGCGTGTGACTTTCATGAAACTACTTTTTTTTTAAAAAAACCATGGATACACCATGGCTTTAAGAAGTTCCCGCCTCCCCCTCCCCAACCCATCTTGCCTGCTTTGCTAGGAGATCAATAAGCCTTTAAACAGACACCGGAAAAGAACTGACTTGTTGATGCTGTTAGACTTCTGTTAGCAAAAACGTTTTAAAGTATACCTTCATAAAAAGAAATTAACACCCAGGCCAGGGAGGCAAAGCAGTACTCCCACTATAGTTGTAACAAAGTGCTTTAATAAGCTTCCCTCCTATGGGAACGTACTAGCAACAGAGATGGCAGGAAAGCGAATCAGAAAGCAAAGAAATTAAAGGAATAAAACACCAAGCAGCTGAGCCAGTGCTCTGAAGAGTAGTTTGCAGGGCTGCTAACAGACTTGACCACTCAGCTTTTCCAGGTGGTCTAACCCGGCCATGGCTCTGTCTCAGCCCTCACTTTCCTCGTGAACACCCTGAGGTTTGGTCATACCTGGCTGGCCACAGAGCCTGCTGGGACTTAGATGTGCTAAGATGTAGTCTTTGGGCCAGCAGTTCCAGAAAGAACCAGATGTAGCAAAATCACCTGGGATGCTTAGGAAACTTCAAGACTCCTGGCACTTAGAGGAGACCCACCGAGGCTAAACTCGGAGGTTGGGCCGGGCCTTGCCTTTGTAATCTCCCAGGTGATTCTCGTGCACAGTGTGTAGAGAACAGTGTTGTCCAGAGGGCCACGTGTATCTGAGGGAGAGAAGAGATCCGGAAGCCCACGAGGGCCTGTGGCTTCGGGTAGCTATGCACTGCCCAGACCATCCCCGCCCTCCCCCACTCCCGCCCGCCCCGGGCTGCTTATTCAGTGTGTCACTGCTCCCAGCCCCCAGCAGCAGTGGTGGCCCATCTGCCTGGGTGGGTTTCTTTGCAGCTCAATTGGTACACCCGCCGAGCTGTGCTGGCTGGCATCTACAACACGACAGAGCTGGTGATGATGCAGGACTCCTCCCCAGACTTCGAGGACACTTGGCGTTTCTTGGAAAACCGGATTAATGATGCAATGAACTTGGGCCACACTGCCAAGCAGGTAGCAGGGGGCTAGCCATTTGGGAAGCCCCCTCACTAGGTGCACCATCCTCCTCGGGTCACAGCCGGGTGCTGTCTATTCTCTTGGCCCCCTTTGGTCTCAGCTGACAGCTGTGAGGGCCTCCCCAGGGAGCCTGGCTGGTTCTTCCTCATACCCAACCTTCTGAAGAGCCGCCCTCGGCCCATTTGTGGTTACACCATCCATGGGCTCTTCCTCCAGTGCACAGGGCCCTCGTGACTCTGCCTGTTGGGACTAACAGGCCTGCTGGTTTATCCTGTCTGTCTCCCCTTGGGACTTGTGATGGGGACTTAAGGGAACCTGACTCGGACTCTTTCCAGGTGCAGTCCACTGGAGAGGCCCTGGTGCAAGGACTCATGGGAGCAGCGGTGACGGTGAGTACTGCCCAGATCATCCCCACCCTCCCCGACCCAGTGCTGGCCCCGTGCTTCTTACTTAGTTTAATGTATCACTGACCCAAGTAGCTTTGTAGCATTAAACTGGAAAGTTCGGGATGAGACTGACAGTGACTCAGCCCAAGTTTCTTGATTGCAAATGTCCCACCTCTTTAGTTTCACTGGCTGGCTCCCAGGACACTGGTATGCCAGACCTCTGTACCATAGCCATGCGGGCCGCCTTGCAAATCCTGATCCTTCCCATTGGAGTCCCAGGGTGGGGCAAGGACTCAGCACTCTCTGTTTGCATCCCTTCGTCAGCTCAAGAATCTGACAGGTCTGAACCAGCGTCGGTGAACAGGAAGGAGTGTGAGCTAGAGTGCCCAGAGGAATACCTGCAAATGTATTTAAAGGGCATCGGGAAGTAGGACATGCCTTCTACGGGACAGAGTATCAATGATAAAACACTGCAGGACTCCTGAGTCACCACCGCCACCCAGCAACCACAGGGCACCTGATCATGCAGCTGTAGCCCAGGATTGGGCCACTTCTTCCGTTCCTGATATCAGGCCCAGCCTCTTGGTGCCTTTCCGAGTGGCAGCCGTGTGACTGAAAAACGAGGCTCCCCTCCAAGCATTAGAGCCTCAGAAACCCAGCACGTCCCTGTCATGGTCTCACAGGCACTTTGATCATATCTCAACCTTCCTAGAAACGCTCTCTGGGACTCCCAAGTTGGAGTCCAAGTCAGAAGTCCCCCGAAGTAGCAGCTGATCCACAGCCCAGCACAGGCACTTGCACTCAGGGGCATCCCTTGCAGCCCTCTTCTTCCAGCACTTTGACATGCTGCACTGGGGACCCCTCCAAACGCTGCTGACCTGCGACCGCTGCCTGCTGGACGGTGGTTCTCAGCCTGGCCAGAGGTGATCCCAGACCTGGTGTCGCGTTACACCAGCATGCGTGGCAGGATTGTCAGTGAACTCAGAGTCTGTAAACATATTAATAAATATGTTTGAATTCGTTTCCTGTTGTGTAGTCGGTTTTCGTACAGACCACGGCAGGCATGCAAGACCCCGGAGAGAGAGCAATGTTGGGGGAAAGGCTCGAGGCGAGCAGCCAGGAGACCGGAGTTCTGGTCCTGGTGCTGCCTGGTGGTGCTGGGCAATATGACAGTCTGGTCCCTGGTTTCCCGTCCATGCAGTGTGAGTGACAGGCCTTCCTCTTCACCGTTAGCTCCTCTGGCTGCTCTTGTCTGTTGCTAGCCATTTCAAGGATACATTCTTCAGCTTTAGTGATATCCTTGGCCTCTGCACTGGTGGGCTCCCTTTGCAAGTCGGGTTAACTCTTGTATTGGTCTGCTCAGGTTGCTATAACCAGATACCATCAACTGGGTGGCTTAAACGTCAGACATTTTCTCACAGTCTGGAGGCTGGGAAGTCCAAGATCAAGGTGCCAGCCAGTTTGGTTCCGGGTTAGGGCTTTCTTCCTGACTAGCAGATGGCTGCCTTCTCTCTGTGTTCTCACATGGTAGAGAAAGTGCTGCTGTCTTTTCCTGTTCTTATGAGGGCACTACCCTTGTGACCTCCCAAAGACCCCCATCTCCAAAACCCATCACAGCAGGAGTTAGAGCATTCTGGGTGGCCATAATTCAGGCCATAGCACCTGGCTGCTACTTTGCAGGCTCCTCCCTAAGCCAACCATATTGGGTGAAGTCAGCCAATAGGAATTTCCAGTCTCTTCTGGGCCTTCCACTGGTCCCTGTTGGCACCTTTCCAGTTCTTTTCATCTCAACACCCTGTCAGTTTCCCTGCTGTAGCTCTTGCCAATTTCATTCCATTCTCCTATATCCTTCCTAGCATTCTATTCTCTTTCAGCAGACAACGGCCTTCCTCAGAAGATAAGTCACTCCTCGTTAAGGCAAACTCCTCTTCTGATTACTCTTCTTTGGCCCACTAAGTCTAGCCCCTCCCCTCCAACTTCTAATTTAGGGCCTCTTTTCTCCATGGGATCAGCTGCCACCTTTTTGAGGCCCATTCAAACCTCTCCATGCTGTCGAAGTGACTGATCATTCATTTATGGCACATTCACCCCGTGAAACGAACGTTGGCGGGCAATGGGGGGCGCAGAGATGAAGAGCCACGCCCCCTCCCACCCACTGCAGCTGCACAGTTTCTGCGGGTTGAAAAATACTTGACCCAGGCTGGAGGGTGGAAGGGGAAGGGCACAAACCTACCGGTCAAATATACTTCGCTAAAGTATACTTTTGTTTTTCCATAAATGTACAAATTTCATTCTTTTTAAAAAACATCATAGTATTCCTATGTTGGTATATTTCACCCAGGTCTCTCGATGGACAATTTTTATTTTTTTAATTATTATTTATTGATTTTTAGAGCGGGGAAGAGAGAAACATCGATTCATTGATCCACTTATTTGTGCATTCGTTGGTTCCTTCTTGCATGTGCCCTGACTGAGGATGGAACCCTCATCTTTGACGTATTATTTGGATGACACTGGAACCACCTGAGCTAGCTACTTGGCCAGGGCATTTTTGGTTATTTTTTGATATTACAAATTGCTACAGTAATCTTCCCTGAAATGTATCTTTGCTCACAACTTAAGTATTTCTACAGTATGAATTCGTGGGAATGCTATCACTGAGTCAAGTGCGTGTGCATATTTTGCAAAATCGTCATCCAAGGTGCTTGAACCCTGTGCATTTAAATCAGGCGGCGGGTAGAAAACGGCAGGCCCGGAGCAGTCCCGGCCTCCAAACAGCAGGTGGCGCTGTGGGCGCGTCTTCAAGGAGGCGGTGGGGACCAAGCTGACCGACTTCCGGTAACTTCTGATGCCGCGGTGCGCGTAGGAGCAGACGCAGTAGTCGGTCCCGGAGGTGGTTCGCCATGCCCTACGCCAACCAGCCCACCGTCCGAATCACGGAGCTTACCGACGAGAATGTCAAATTCATCATCGAGAATACGGATCTAGCGTAAGGCTGCTGAGGGAAGCGGCTGATGGCTGGAGCCCCGGGGGCCGGGGAGGCGGGGAGGGGAGATGGGGTCGTGTCTGCCGGCCCCCGTGTCCTGGCTTTCACTTAGGGAACCCGGAAGCGCAGGATCGGCATGTCGAGGCTGCAGTGACCTCATGCCGTTTGATTTTCATCCCCCAGGGTGGCAAATTCTATTCGGAGGGTCTTCATCGCTGAGGTGCCCATAATAGGTAAGCGACCCCCTCCTTCTCGCTGCCAGGCTAACAGTACCCTCCTAAACTCACCCCTAGCCCCCTGACCACACACACCTGGGGCTTCTGCCTCCAGCCCTTGGTTTGGGCGAGGGGTGAGGGCGCAGAGAAAACACCAGGGCCACTTCTGGCCACCTCCCTGGCTCCCACGGGCCACTTAGGTCCGCTCTTACATTTGCATTGGTGAAGAGCATGGGTTCAGGAGTCTGTCTGGAAACTTAGGTTCAAAGCCTGTTTTTACTTCCTGTGTCTGTGAAACTTGGACAAGGTTTTGAACTGTGGTGTGGTGTTCTCTGGAACATTGGAACACCAGTAGTACTCATGAGGGTGATAACAAGGATTAAGTAAGTAAGGATTAAGGATCATTGCCTTTAAATGCTTTGCATCTGGTGAGTGCTCAGGTCCTGCAGATGTCTTTTTATCTGTCTGTTTCTTCAAGTGCACTTATGGAGCATCATAAATGCCAGGCAGTGGCTGGGCACTGGGAATGCAGAGCTGCGTAGCACAGGGTTCTTGCCCCCTGGAGCCCACAGTGAAGCTGCAGGGCAGAGGTGCACCCACAGGCAATGCCCGTGCAAAGTACCCTCAACCAGCGGTTTGTGAGAGGCAGAGCCCCAGTGCTGCTGGTGCTTGGGGGGGGGGGGGGGGGGGTCTGGTCCAGCTCTGGTTCCAGCTGGGCTGGGCCAGGTATTTTGCACATTTACAAACATACAATGGTCTATATTTGGGAGGGCATGGTGGTCTAGCCACTTCGCCCCCCACCTCTGTCACTGCAGCTCAGAGCCTGGCCTGCTGGACCTCCCTCCACCTAACCATTCCATGCTTCTGGGGCTGGGCTCCATTTCATCCAGAGTACAATGAGGGAGTGGCACTTGACCATGCAGCTCTGATGTTCCAAATTGAAATGTCACCTGTCCCACAAAGTCAGTTCTGCAAATAATTAAGAACCTGCTACACTCCAGGCCACAGCTGGGAATGCAAAAGTTAAAACACCTGAAGACCCTGCCCCAGGAGTTTCCAGAGCTTGAGGTAGAGACAGGACACACACAAGCGTTAACACAAGGCGCAGCGTGGCAAGTGTCTTAAGAGAAGTCTGGGCAGTTTTTGTGAGGGAGGGGCTCTGCCCATGTCATGGATTCTCAAAGGCTTGTAGCCTGTGCCAGAGAGCATAAGGGCACACCAGGGCGGGGGCAGAGAGGGGCAGAGACAGGAAAGGTTGGCTCTTGGTCCTTATTTGATTTGGGTCAGGGAGGCAGTAGGAGGCATGGAGCAAAGCAGGCTGGGGCCTGACTCTGTTCCTGCTCTGGCCTATTTCTAGCATCCACACCCCCTATTGGGCAGGTGGGCTCCAATGCCATTTGCTTACATGAAGATGTGAATGAATGAATATGTGTGTAAGTCAAGTGTATGTGAGCATGCAGTCCTTCTAATAGCTCATTGCTGGAAGGGATTGGATTTTATACGTAGTACGCCTTACCCATTAAAGGTATGCCATAAACGTTGGTTGATTGAGTGAGAATAGTGTTAAATAAGTCACTGTTTTCCTCTGCATGAAACCCCTGGGGGTGGGGTTGTAGTTCTTGCTCAGATGTAGGTTCCCGGGCCCCAGTCTAGAGCTGTGCGAGTCAGAAGCAGGCAGCCTGACCAGGCCCCGCACGGGTCAGGAACCGTGGGCAGCTCCTGACCGTGGAGAGCCACTGCTCCCAGTCTTCCAGTGAATTCAGTGGCTCAGCTGCATGTCTGCCTCCTTTGCTTTTCAGCCATCGACTGGGTTCAGATCGATGCCAACTCCTCCGTCCTTCATGACGAGTTCATCGCTCACAGGCTTGGTGAGTGCCGGGTTTGGGAAGGGGGAAGTCTCGGCGAGGAGCCCTCCTCACTCCCAAGGGGACTCCAGGTTGGCCTGGCCACTTGGCCTTCTTCAGAGTGCTTCTCTGTGTCTTCCAGGATTGATCCCCCTCACTAGCGATGACATCGTGGACAAGCTGCAGTACTCCCGGGTATGCTGGGTGACCGGGTGGGCTGTGGGGCGGGGGAGGCAGGAATCAGAGGGGATTTCCTGCTCTCCTGCTTCTAGTCCTTAGGAAGACAATGTGGCAAGAGTGTCCAGGCCCGAGGCCGGCCCTGTCCTCGGTTCTGAGGGGCCTCAGATCAGTCCGTCTCACGGGGCATCAGGGAGTCCTGTTGGCCCGTGACACATGAGGGGTGAACACCGGAGTGCCCATTCATGCCAGCCGGGGGCTGCCCCTCTTCAGAGTCTGGTCTGTTCAGGAGCTGCTTTCCAGAGCATCTCTTCCTGGTGACAGGGGCCTAGGATGTTATAGGGAGTCAACAAAAGGTTGGGGGTGGGAGAGGACAGGGCAGGGGGGAGAACTGTCCCTGGAGCAGCGCCTGAGGACTAGGGTGCTGGCGTCTGGTGGGTTTGTGGCTCACCCCATAGGTACACCAGGGTGCATTTGCCTCACTGGTGTGAAGGGAGAGCAGTTTGCTTGACTATATTGTAGTAGCTCCTTACGAAGGACTGGGGTGTTTTAAGGACAGCAAACTGGGGGCAACTGCTGAAGCTGAGGGATGGTCTCATGGTGGCATCTCTCTCACATGTTTCTTGGCTTTTGTGGTAAATGTATGTAGTTTTTTATAATGGAACATGTTTTAAGTTTATTTTTAGACAGAGGGGAAGGAAGAAAGAGAGGAAGAGAAACATCAGTGTGTGGTTGCCTCTCATGTGCCCCCCACAACCCGGCCCACAACCCAGGCATGTGCTCTGACTGGGAATTGAACTGGTGACCCTTTGATTCTCAGGCCTGCACCCAATCCACTGAGCCACACCAGCCAGGGCCTAGAAATTTTTTTTAAAGAAAAGGTCAATAGCCTAGAACTTGAACGGTACTTTTTTCTACAGTTCCCTTTATTTTGTCTTAGTGGTGATTACGTTCCAGGGCCCGCCCACTTAGCCCGTGGAGGCTGTGCTGAGCATCACAGTGGTGCTGTTGGGAGGCGTGCTCCCAGGGCCAGGCTGAGATGGGTGTGGAGGGACGTGGTGGTGGTGCCCCGGGGTTGTCCTTAATCTGGGAAGCGCCTGTCCCTAAGAAGGCTACCAGAGCAACACAGCTCCCGAGAGCCTGGAGGCCGGCCGGCCCTTGCACACACAGGGATCCGGAAGGAATGGAGATCCGAAGTGGGGAGCTCGGGTCGGCCGGCTTGGCTCTCCATGGACTCGCTGCTCTGCTTGCCTTCCGGCCTCAGGACTGCACGTGCGAGGAGTTCTGCCCCGAATGCTCGGTGGAGTTCACTCTCGACGTGCGGTGCAACGAAGACCAGACTCGTCACGTCACGTCTCGAGACCTCATCTCCAACAGCCCCCGGGTCATTCCGGTCAGTGTCTAAGGGCAGCCTCCCTGCCAGGACCCTGGCTCTTCCCCTTCTGCCTGCAAGTGGGCCAGACGGGGTGGACTCGTACGAGACACTGCCTTTCCCCGGACTACCCTCTGGTGCACAGGAGGCCAGTCTGCACCCGTCGGGGGAGGGCGGGGGCCGTGTTGGTTCCCTGTGCCCTCTCTCACCCCAGGACCCGTGTGAGAGGCCGTGGCGCTGTTGGGACTGACCAGGGTGCCACAGAGCTGCAAAGTAGAGGTGGGAGGGTCACCAGCACAGACTGGGTCCTAGTGGGCACTTGTGCCACCTCAGTCCCAGGCACCCTGTCCCTGGTTTGGCAGGTTGTGGCCTGGAAGTCCTGGAAAGTGATTTCTAGAAGTGGTACCTGGGAGATGAACAGCTAAAAAAGGTCTGTGTTTGGGCCCCTCCAGGTGACATCCCGGAACCGAGATAATGACCCCAATGATTACGTGGAGCAGGACGGTAAGGGGCTGGAGTGTGTGTGCGGAGGTCTGCCCGAGGTGCCGCTTTGCAGGCCAGCAGGGAGGCAGAGACCCAGCCCAGTCTCCTCCCAGCTGGCCTTTGATCCGATTTTCCAGATGTCCATGGCCTTCCAGTGGCAGTTCGGGTCAAAACCGGGAGGGCCGTGCCTCTCCCGGTGCTGACTCCTACCTCTCCCCACAGACATTCTCATCGTCAAGCTGCGGAAGGGCCAGGAGCTGAGACTGCGTGCCTATGCCAAAAAGGGCTTCGGCAAGGAACATGCAAAGTGGAACCCGACCGCAGGGGTGGCTTTCGAATACGATCCCGACAATGCCCTGAGGCACACAGTGTACCCCAAGCCAGAGGAATGGTGGGTCCCAGCTGGGAGTGGAGGCAGGCTGTTAGGGTGGGTGGGGTGGGCAGCCATGCTGTGCGCACAGGGGCCCTGGAAGCAGCAGTAGCGACCCTGTGCTGCCCTGTGCTTGACCCCAGGCCAAAGAGTGAGTACTCGGAGCTGGATGAGGATGAGTCACAGGCGCCCTATGACCCCAACGGCAAGCCGGAGAGGTAAGAGGCGTCTGGCTCAGGAAGGGGAAGTGTGCAGGAGAGCCTGCCGCTTGGGTGCAGGTTCTGGGTCGGGGAGATGCTTCCCCTGGGCCCCAGTTCCCGTGGGCTGATGACCACCGAACCCACGTGCACACATCCCCCTTCAGTCACCTGGGAAAGGGGGGCCCCCAGTTACCCAAACCCTCCGGATTCTGGGTTTCAGCCTCCAAAGAAGGGGTCAGCCTGGGGCCAGAAACTGGCTTGTCTTCTGGTGACGACCACGGAGCTGCTGGCCCCCGGGACCCTTCCTGTGTGTGTTCCACTTTCTCAGTGTGGGATACAGCTGCACGGAAGTGTTTGGGGGTTTCACTGACTGGAGTGACCAGGGGCTGGCTTTGCGGTGGCGGTAGCCTCTGAGGTCCTGTGACAACCACTGTTACTAAGGGGAGGGAGGTCACCTGGGGCGGGTTCAGTTCTGGTGGGGAGGGAGTTGAGACGCCGAAGCTCCGGTAGCCTGCCTCTCGGGGAGGGCTCTCACCGACCCTCACCTCTCAGGTTCTACTACAACGTGGAGTCCTGCGGCTCCCTGCGCCCCGAAACCATTGTGCTCTCCGCCCTCTCTGGACTGAAGAAGAAGCTGAGTGACTTACAGACCCAGTTGAGCCACGAGATCCAGAGCGACGTCCTAACCATAAACTAGCCGCAGCTCGCCTGCTCCGGCGCGGAGGGATCTGAGCTTCATCGCAGGTCTGTCCGTAGACGCTTCCAGGTCTGGGCAGCTGTCACTCACTCCTCGGCGGGCCTCTGTACCCACCAGAGAGGCAGCAGTGGGGAAGGCAGGCCCATCCCAGCCTCGCTTGGTCACAGGGAGAGCACCAGGGTGATGCTGGTGTCCAAGGCAGGACAGTCTTTCTGGGACACTGAGCACGCCTGGCCCTGCCTGCTGATTGGCAGCCCTCTCCCGGAACCCAGACCCCTTCCCCGTTGCCGAGCCTGCCTGTAGGGGTCGCACTGCTTCCTTGTTGAAAACCACCGAGCTGGTCCCTCCTCCTCTGGTCATTTCAGGTTTGGGTTTTTTTGTCCAAAAGTTGGTATGTTAGGTTTCTGGTGTTAGGGGTGAGCGCGAGAACTCCCATTCACGCTGCCTACAAACCCAGGGCCCGCCTGCTGACACCTCAGATTCTCGAGCGTCCCTAACTTGAGAACGGTGTTAGACCCTGGTTGCATGCCCACCCCCCCATAAACCCTGTATTTCACTCTCTGCCCCTGAGTTGGGGCTTCGCTGCCAGTGACCCCATCATTTAGTTTGGGGGTAGACAGTGGGGGGAGTGCAAGGGCCTGTGTCCTGCAGGGAGGAGCAGACACAGCAGTTATGAGGCAGCCTGGGAGGAGGGGTCTGGAGAAATGTGGCAATACAGTCCAGAAAGGAAGTGACATTTATTAACAGTAGAGTTTTTATTTTTGGCAATAAAGAGCACAACATAATCTCCTTCATGCGTCATCGTGCCGCTGGCGGAGCCAGCCAGCTCTGCCCGCCTCTCTGAGGCCCTGGACCAGGCCCTCAGGCCAGCTCATGCCTCCCGGTGGTCAGCCTCAGAGCAGAGCTGGCCGCGGCCCCCTCCCCAGCTCCAGGGCTCTGCTGGAGGGGCCACGTGCGTTCTCCTCCTCCTGCCACACCTTGGGTGGCAGCTATTTACATCCAGGTAACAAGGTCTGTTCCCACAAATCAGAACCCTAAAGTACTTATAAAAAAACAAAAACAAAAAACATACACACAACCATAGGTTTGATGTGGATAGAAAGATAGCCCTTCTGCCCAGTAGTCAATAAATACCAGCACTAGAAAATCAATTGCTTTAATTGCATTTCAGCGGGGAGCCTCAGCACCATGTGGGGAGGAGGGACGGGGGAGGGCTGGTTTCTGAGTGCTCTCTGGCCAGATGCAGAGAGGGGTACCTGTGCTAGGCCACTGCCCGTCCCAGGTCAGTGAGGGGGGGCAGCAGGGGAGCTCCCCACAGCAGGCCTGCCGCGGCCTTCCCTCCTGGCCTGGCCCCGGGGTAGGACAGAGCTGGGGGCTGGCCTCTCCCCTGGTTGAGGTCATGGCACTCACCCCCACAGGGCAGGCTTCTCGGCCTCCAAAACAGGAAGGAGCCTGGGCAGACATTTTCAAACCAGACTTTCACCTGAGGTGTCAACCAGATGTCACCAAGTGGCACAGTGTAGGTTCGGACCCTCCCTGGGCCACTCAGGCCCCAGAGGACCTAAGAAGCTGCCTGCCACCTTAGCCCTTGTGTGGCCCCAGCAAAGCTGGCCCAGAGTTCCGACTGCCTCCCTCTGGCCCGGGCAGCTCACACGAGTCCTGGCAGCAGGAGGGCTGTGCACCAAGGACATTCAAAACCAGCCTTGACTGCGGCCTGGTCATGGGATTAAAAACTGTGGGGTGGCAGGGAGGGACAGGGGGAATCTCATTAATATAGAATATGTCATAAGCCATATATATTAAAATCATGAACAGTATATAGTCCCGTGGTAGCTCCAGCCTCACACATGCTCAGGTGGTGTGGCCAGCCCGTGGCCTTGGTCCAGCCTCACCCACTGGGGCAAGGAAGGGACAGCGGGCTCCCTTTCTCCAGGCTCTTGGCCAGCAGCCCCTGAGGCCGCCCTCAGCATGCTGTGGCCGGCCTTGCAGCTGGGCAGCCCCAGTCATCGTCCATGCTCGCCAGCCCTCCTGTCACTGGGCCGGCGTCTTGGCCTCACTGCCGTCCCCCTGGCTGGGCTTTGGCTTTAGCAGGATGAATCTGTTGAGGAGGTCCGTTTCTGAGCTGGCCTGGGCTGCCCCACACGCCTCACCTGTGGACACACAGGCAGACTCAGGACTCCAGGGGGAGAGACCCCTGCCCGGAAGTCCTGGCTCCCACAGCAGCAGGGCAGGTGGCTGCAGACACCGCAGGGACTCACCGGTGTAGCTGGAAGCCTCGGTGATATTCTGGGAGCCCGTGATGTGGTGCCAGTAGGCACTGCGGGGCAGCATGGTGGTGGGCGTGCAGGGGTAGGAGTAATGTTCTGTGCCCTTGTTCAGCAGCTGTGGGCCAGAGGAAGGTCCCTCCTATCAGCTCTGGGGGCGTGGCCTACCCCAGCAGCCCAGCCCAAGACCCTGCCTGCAGCCCCCACCTGTGCACACTAGGTGGAGACACCTGGCGCGCTCCAGGCACGCTGCCTGCCCACCAGCCTCCCCTGCACCTGGGGCCCAGGCACCCACTGCCTCACCCTCACGTTCTTCTCCATTTCTAGCAGGACCCGCTTGTGCTGCTCGGCAATGGCCAGGGTGGCACTGTGGACCCTCTGGTAAATCTGTTCCCCTTCCTGTGTCTGGAAGGTGTAGAGCCCTTCACCGGCATCACACATCCTGGGGACACAAGTAGCAAGGTGGTGGGGACTCCACCCCACACATGCACACACCTGATGGGGCTCCCCTGTATCCCGGGCCCTCTGGGAAATAGGCGGGGCTGCCGCCCTGGGTCTGACCACACACAGCAGGAACCGACTGGCAGCATCTTCCGTGGGCCAGATGGCGATCCACAGGAATCAGCCCATTCAGTTTTCTCCACCAGCTCTTCAGTCCCTGCACTTAGTTTCCTCGTTAGGGTTTCCCAAACCACGTGACAACGAGGAAACGGGCATACGGAATGTGTAAGTCACTTCACCACGGTCACCACAGGGAGGATCACAGAGAACTCAGGTCTAGGCAGGCTGGCTCCTGAGCCCACACTGCAGGTACCCAGCCCCCACCGCGACCCCGTGAAGTAGGTGCTTTTCTCATCCCCTCTCTGACAGATGAGGCAACTGAGACTCCGGCCCGCAGCCCCAGAGCCAGTCCGGGCCAGGGCCTGCGTCCGACGTGAGGCCAAGCCGCCTCCTCGGCCTGCCCGCCCTCAGCCTCCATGTATTCATCTGTAGAGTGGGAACGCTATGTTCCCTTTTGGGTTGCTACGCTGATAGATGCCTTCAGCGCTCAGCACAGTGTCTGGTGCAGGTGAGTGGCAACCACTGTCATGGCCATGTTGGGACAGGGGCGGTGGGCAGGAGGGTCCTACCGGCCGGCCTCAAAGGTGAAGCGTGTGGCGTCCCGGCCGTAGCGGCGCAGTGAGCAGAGGGGCCACGAGACGAGCTTCACACGGGGGTTGTGCATGTCCCAGAGGTAGATGTTCTCGTGGGTGATCTGCAGCTTGCACTCGCCGTACACGTCCAGGTTGGGGCAGGGTAACAGGAAGACGTTAAAGCGATCTGCAGGGGGTGAGGGCAGAGAGGCCAGCCTGGAGCTTCCGGTGGGACAGCCTCCACCCCGCTCCCCGCCCTCTCCCAGCACCAGGCCTCACCTGTCTGCTCACACTGTACCCCCGGGGCCAGGAGGTCCGGCTCTCCCAGACTGATGTCGTTGAGCCTGGAGCCCAGACACTCCACAGACAGGGTCTTGTACCACTCCTCCGCCTCCAGCTCTGGAGGAAACAGCACCTCATCGCACTGCCAGCTCAGGGCCCCCCCGCAGCCCACCGTGTGCTCAGCCTGAGCTGTCCTACCATGCAAGGCAGGGACAGGGCCAGCGAATCCTGCCTGTCGGCCCCACCTGATCCCGGCAGCCTGCGCGGTCAGAGGCACGCCCAACCATCCTACCAGCCGGGCCTGACCTGCTCTGCCTTCCCCCACTGGACCGCCAAACCACGGCTGGCCCAGGGGCGCTGGATGGAGGCCTGCAGCCCCCGGGCCTCACCTGAGTCGCAGGTGAAGGTACGGGCTGAGTCATCAGTGAATATGATGGCCACCGCCTGCCTCTTGGTCTCCTTGGGGAGCCGCATGACACACTTCACATTGCTGATCTCAGTCACCTGGGACAGCATCCACAAAGGACTCAGCCAGGTGGCAGCACCTCCCTCTGCACCCTCCCACAGTTTGCCACCCTCCAGAGGGTGCCCTTGGACCTCAGGACTCCTCACTGCTTACAGGTTAGGGGAGCTAGGGCCCAGGCCCCCTAACCTTGGGGCAGCCTCGGAGGCACACCGACTTCTCATCCGGGTACTTCTCCAGCCGCTGGGGCCCCTTGCTGGAGGATTTCCGGAACACCAGCCAGCACCGGCGGTAGATCTGTGGGGCAAGATCGCAGGGGGTCAGGCTTCCTCGACCTGCTTGCTGGCCACCCAACAGGGCCCTGCAATTACCCCTGCCTACCGCAGGGGGCAGCACCACACAGCCTTGCTGGGAGGCCCCAGCCCAGGGGAAAACCTGGCGACAGCTGACTCCAGTGTGACAACCCCTGGGGGAGTTCCCCTCCCCAAACTGTCACTTCTTGGCTGGCTCTGGACGGCTGTTCCTACAGAGGGTGAGCTCCATTTACAGCGAGCTTAGCTCTGAGTGTACAGTTGGCCCTTGAACCACACAGGTTTGAAACACAGAGTCCACTTACTTACACGTGGTTTTTTTTTCTTTTCCCAATAAATGTACAGCCCACCTTCTATATCCCAAGTTTCACAGGTTCCCCTTCCCATCCTCACCAAAGGACATGCTCATTGAATTTAGAAAGAGAGGAAGGCAGGGAGGGAGAGAAACATCAAGGTGAGAGAGAAACATGGATCAGAACCAAACCCGCAACCCAGGCATGTGCCCTGCCAGGGAATCGAACCAGCGACCTCTTGGTTTATGAGGATGATGCTCCAACCAAGTGGGCCCCACTGGCCAGGGCTCCGAGGGATTTTTTAATCTGTGGTTGGGCATCTGTGGATGTGGAGGGTCTGTTGTCTGCATTGTTCTTACACGATTTTACAGAAGGGACTTGAGCACCCATGGATTTTAGTATCTACGGGGCCCTGGAACCAACCTCCTGCAGACGCGGAGGAACGACTGAGGAGTCAAAAGACTTTCTACGTCGAGGGAAAGGGGGCCCAGCGCCCCTAACCCCCACATTGTTTAACAGTGATGTAAGTAGCCAACACTGACCAGGTGCCCCTTATTTGTCCTTTTTTGGTATTAGCACTCCACACAGTTAATCTCGGGGTCACTTGAGGTCAGTTCTGTCCTGTCCACTTTATAGGTAAGGAAACTGAGGCACCAAAAAGTGAAGTAACAGCTAATAAACGGTTGAGTCAGTCTCCCAAACAGGCTGTCTAGGTCTAGAGCCAAACCTTGGAGCCCTGTGCTCACAGAGTCCTGCCCAGAGGGAGTGTCCTGGGGACAGGGATCAGACCCTTCTCCGCTCCCAGCCTGCACAGCACTGCAGCCTGGGCCTCAGAGCCGCCCAGGCTCCATGTAGGCAACTCCCACTCCTGCCAGGGCGCTTCCCTCACCCTCCTGTCATTCTCCAACCACCTTTGGGTGCAGGGGTGCCTGTTCCATTTGGGAAACCGGAGCCAAGAACCTGGGGTCACACAAGAGCACAGTGCCTTCCCTGGCCAGGTTCCCTCCTCATCCAGCCACTGCCAGTGACCCTGTGCCCA